CCAAAAGCTGTCTTTAAACTTTGTACAGTGGCGAAAAAGTCCATCCTCAGAATTCCTTGAGGTTCTTTTCGAAGTTTTTAGAACTCTTTGAACTCTTTTAAAATTCTTCTGAGAAGTCTTCTGGAATTATTTTGAGAACTCTTCTTGACTTTTATTCAGCACACCTTGGAGCTGAAATTTTCTTAGAGTTTCAGAAGAATTTCCTCAGTATTATCCAGTAATTATTTCCGGAATGAGCTAGAAATTATCAGAACTCCATTGCCATTTTATTCAAAATCCTTTTTGAATTTCACTCAAAACTTATTTTTCTCGGTATTCTTTTCGGAATTATATTGGAACTATCTACAGGATTCACTAGAAATTACCCGCTAAATTTTCTTGGAATACTTCCCAGAAATCCCTTGGAACTGTCTTCAGAATTTATTATCCTTAAGGTTTTGTTTTCCCCGTATTTTGTAGAACTCTTCCAATAGCTCTTTTGAAATTTTTCTTAGAAGTCCACTACAATTATATTTAGAACTCGTCATGATTTTTTCTAAGAACACCTTTTAACTGATATTCCTTCAGAAATTCTTTCGCGTTTCTAGAAATTATCCTCGGAATTCGCTTGAAATTTTGCTTAAAATCCCTTTGTAATTTTCTTTAGTTTTACTATCAGAAATGTTCAATAAAACTTGCCCCTTCTTTCATCAGAACTGTGCAATTTTTACATCAGGAATTTTCAAGTCAGCTTGCCCCTCCATGCAGCAGATTGTTGCAAATCTTACATCAAAAATTTTCAATACAAACTGGCCCCCATAAAATTTCAACTGACCAGAACGATGCAAATTTTCCACCGTTAATGTTCAATAAAAATTGCTTCTCCAATCTTCTGATTAGTGCAAATTTCCTTTTTCTATTTTCCACCAGGCATTTTCAATATAGCTTGCTTCTCCTATCATCAGAATGTTGCAGGTTTTCCACCAAATAAAGCTTGCCCCTATTTTCATATTTTGAGAATGTTCAGTAAATCAACTTTCCTCCAATTATCAGAATGGGCAAATTTTACACCAGAAATTATTATTAAAGTTTGTATCTCTATTCAGCAGAAGGATGCAACTTTAAGACCAAATTTTTCCAAAAAGCTTGGCCATCCGTTTACCAGAACGGTACAGATTTTTCACCAGAAATTTTCAAAATAGCTAAAGTTTTAATAAAGCTTGTGCCTTCATTTACCAGTGCAAGTTTTCCACCATAAATCTTCTGTTCATTTAATTTATCAAGGCGATGCAAATTTTGCACCATAAATTTTCAATAAAACATGCTACTCCATTCACCAAAAATTGTCAGTGAAGTTTGTTTCACCATGCACCTTTGTGGTGCAATTTTCAGGCTTTGCCTCTTCATGCACCATAAATTTTCACCGAAGCTTGCATTCATCAGAACGATGCAAATTATGCACCAGAAAAATGAATAAACCTTGCTTCTAAATTCACCACAGTGTTCACCATGTGCATCTCCAAATTTTTAGCGTGATTCAATTTTTCCACCAGAGTTATTCATTTTGATTAGTCCTGAAGTAGTGATGATCTATTCCTGGTATTCTGCTTCCAGCGGTGAACATATTTTGCAGTTGTTTATTTCCATACAATTTGTTTTCATAAAAAAAAAAAAGGAAAAAATGTACCCGACTTGAAATGACCGATCACAGCATCAACTCAGCATTACAAAAAGCTTACAAACAACAGTTTTCCGACTTCTTTGCCTAAAGTACTTTCAATATATGTGATTATAATGGGGCAGAAAAATTGCTTGACGGAACATGATTTGTTGCATTTGTCATGCTGTCAAGATTTAAAGCAAAGTCATAATTTCACTGTTTGACACTAAACTAACAAGCTGACAGTTTACTTCCATACAAAGTCCCACCGAGGGGCGCTAAGATGATGGTGCTTTTTGCTAATGTAATCGCATTTACTGAAAATAGTTTCAGTGTATCAAAATTGATGAAATTTTGGATTTCGGATCCATTTTTAATGTAGATTGCGAATATGCATTTAACTCAATATCCTTAAAGAACCCAAGTGATAACTGTGGAAGTGCTTCATAGAACACTATGTTGAGAACATGGAGAGATTCGTAGCTTTTAAAAAAATGATTACAAATTATTTTATTTTCATATCACTGTCCTATACTGGAAACTTTAGTCGGCAGTGTGTTTTGAAAAACCCTAATAACCAGAAATAACTATTTCTGGTTCAAAATTTAGTTTTTGATGTACCTGAATGTCTACAATAATCCAAAATATGACAATCTTAGGACATTTCGATACATATTCCAGATGAAGAAGATGTAAATATTCCATGTTTATGTAACTAGAAAAAAAAACTTTAATAAGACTGGTAAAAAACATACTTTTGAGTAATTATTCCAAACACATATGTAACAGATTGTCAATGAAATTTCAATATGACTTTAAAAAAATAGATTTGGCTACTGCTGCTTTTATCTGAATTCGTTAAACAAACGTTACCAAACGAAGTGCTTGTTGGCTTTCTGTTGTATTGTTTATGCCTATTCAATATGAAACATGTCGTTTCTCGTTATTCAAACACGGAAATCTAAGAAATCCAAACCAAGTTTCCCAGTGGTTCCCGCAAAATGGGTTTATATGGGGGTTTATAAAATTCATAGAATAATTTTCCACTAGATAACTTATGGATGCTGTTACAAAACATTTGCAGGCTATGCGAAGTCTTTGTAATGGTTGATTATGTCTAACCTGCCAAACGAAATGTACCACATTATTTAATACACATAGACTTTTATTTGTTTTGATGAAACATATTTAACCATACTTCTAATTTGTACATTGGAGCATAAAATACTTGATTTGTGATATTTGTCAAACAAAATATGTAATCAAAATTTCATGCTTTTACAAACGTGTTTCCGAATACATGAGTGATGCCAACTTAAAACAAACAAATTTACAAGCCAAATTGATTAATGTGCTTATGTTTTCTATTGCATTTATCACACATTAGTATGACTCAATTAGTAAAATAGTACTGTTGTAGTACTTTTATACGACAAACTAAATATCATACCTTTTGAAATTAGGTTTTTAGTGTTACTTGGGGTGTTGCATGTGTACTATTATAAAACTTTTACTCAACGAATGCAGTTAATTTCACCTCAGATCAGATCAGATGTTGACGTAGCGAAGTTGGCAGAATTGATGCGGACGTCAGGAGTTCAAATCCTGGTCCCACTGCAGTTAATAATTTAGTTGTGTGTGTTGTTTCTAACTAATTTTGACAAAAATGATTCTCATTAAATAAAATCATCAAATTCACCACCTTGTATCATCAATACATAACTTGGTTTCAATATGAAGCTGTATAATAGAGAAAAGGTTGAAAAAGCACCTTTCAAGTCCACACACAACTAAGCGACAGAAAAACAGCTCTATACAAGCGTCAAAGATAATGCAGTTAGCACAACAAGGGCTTGTCCAAAAAGCCAAAAGTAGCTTACTAAGTTCGCCAGATTTGCTTGTTCAGTAATTGAGTAATAGTTGGTTCCAGGGTGCCTTCCATTCATTTTGACTAAAAAAATGTTTTATGAAATTATAGAATAATAGGATATCATGATGATATTTTGTATGTGTAAGTAATAAGAAAAGATTGTAAAGTTTGTGTTTCACACATCAATCCAGCAAATTTAGCTTTTACAGAGTCACAATGAGCGTTTTTCTGATCGCCTCTTCGCGAAGAGTGAAGAGCGAAGAGTGGGTGAGATAAATTACAAAATCGCTTATTGCGACTCTCATGTGGCAAAATTGGCAGGTATTATGTGTCAAACACAAACTTATCAATCTTTTCTTGTTGTTTACATAATCAAAATATTTTCATTATGTCTTATTATTCCATAATTTCTTAAAACATTTTTTTAGTCAAAATGAATGGAAGGCACCCTGGTTGGTTCATATCGTGTAGTATTTGACTACAGCTTGAAGCTGTATAAATTAAATAAGCAAAGTGTTTACGTCATGAAAAATGTTTGGTGGGAAGTTCATCGAATATATTTAAAGTCATTTATAATAAAAAAAACATCTTTCGAATGGTTTGGAAGGCCTGATATAAGCATAGCAAAACTATGTTATTAAGATAAATTTATGTTAATTGCATAACCAAAATAAACTAAATTTTAGCATAATTTCAAATTTTAGTGATGTGTCTGTCTTATATTTGAGATACATTTTATGATCCTTGAGGTATGCCTTAGATCAGTCGGTAAAGGTGAAACAATAAAGCACGAGCATGCTGGAGGTGACAGGGTTCGGTTCCCGGTCCGGTCTAGGAATTTTCCGAGTTGAAAAATTTCTCTTCTTCTCAGGGCGAGTATGACTGTATTTGCTAAACAATTATTCTGATGCAACTGCAAAAATGCTCCAAGATTGCGTCTGCTTGTTGTCTGCCAAACGTCAGTGCGAACGTTTGTTTCTGGAACCTGACTCGGGTTCAGATTCGCAATGAACATAAGCTCGGTTTGGCACGGATTGGAACTGGTTCCAACCTGGATAGTAAACAAATTCGCTATTAGAAAGCTCTCAATTAACGACTGTGCAAGTGCTCCAAGAACACTAAATTGAGAGCCGGTGTTAAGTCCCAGTAGGTGCGTAATTAAACTAAAGAAGAATGTTTTCTCAAAACACCAACCGTTTAAAAGGAACCTACCGCAAGAATGTGCGGCATATATAGTCATCGTATCACAATGCGAGGTAATTCCCATCTATTCGACCGCTGACGACCACTCCATCCACACCGCATTATGTTTGTCGAACTGACCACATTGATGGCCCATGCCACACACAAACCTATAATAATTCCAGAATTGATCATCATCATCACCGTCATTATCATCGGTGCCGTCCGCGTGTGTGCGAGAGAGTGAAAGAGACGGACGTGCGCCGCCGAAGCTTAAACTACTATTTGCCGTACTAGCGGCCAACAGTTGACTGCGGCTCGTTAGTTGGTTAAGTCGAAACTATACCAGTGGGCTCCCGCGGGTTGTGCTAGTCGTAGTGATATTTACCCGATTGTAGTCATTATACCATTTGCTCCCGCGTGTTCTGTCGCGACGCACTACATAATTATTTCCGTGAGAGCAATACGGCAATTGTTGATTCGAAATCGCGAGCAGTTGTCAGAGTGCAGCAGTAGTTCAGCAGCGTAGAAATCCGACCTATACGTCATCACTCTCCGTAGTGGAAGAGAATAGCAAACATTGGATATTTGGAACTCCGGTGGAGTAACCTCGGCACAGAATGCCGTCTCCGTGCCCCCATTTCGGGCTGAGTTCGTTGCACGTTGTGCTGGCACTACTGTGTAAGTGGGAAGCTTGTGTTGCAGAAGAGAAGTAACATCACTCATGAAGACCATAAAAAAGAGTCTCCTCAGCTATAATTAGAACCCTCGATAATGATGGGATGGTAGATAGCCGTTTGGATGATCGTTTATCTGTTTTGTATTTTTGCTGAGGTGGTGTGGTGTACGATACATGGATATTCCAGGTTGATGATAAAGCAGTTGAACCGGTACCTGCCTAATGCCATCATGCTCACTGAACCTGTTCGGAAGTAGCAGAGGTCGGGTCGGTTCGCATTGAACTTGAAATGGCCATGATCGGGGGAGACGGGCCCGTTGCTCACGAACCGAATAATTTTGCTGTTAATTGAGTTAATTAATTCGTGACTCATACAAGCACTGCGGATGGGCGAACTGTTTTATTGACGTCTTTGAAGAATCGTGAGGGAATTGTTTACCTTTTTTTGTCGGATGATAATAGTAATTGACTGCACCTAGTACATGAGATTTTACGCTTATATGTTAAGCATACATTATTGTAAAGATTAGTGAAAGGTGCTGCAGACTAAGTTGTAAATTCAAACAATTTACACAGTGATAAAAGAAGCTACATTCAGCATGAGATGTAGGTGAAATCATTGGAAATATGTCATAGCAAACCATATAACAATACATAATGCGGTATTGAAATATTGCTGCAGATTATTACAGTTATCTTTTCGTTCCAAGCTTAATATTTTAAATGTCCACAGGATTTGATTAGTCAACAGTGGAAATCTTGAACCAAATTGCTACGAAAACAAGCGATTCCTAACGATTTGTGTAATAAGCTTTGGCTGAACAGAAATACACACAACGCAGAGTAGGTAAATTAGTTTTAAAGGAAATGGTGTAGAACGCGTCGGCGTCACCGTGATATTTCGCATAAAAAAACATTTTGTTCATCATTTTATTGCATCAACAGATAGTATTTATGGTTTTAATGCGTTTCTAAATTAGAAACTAATCATTTTTGTCCCCAAACAATTTAAAACAAAAAAGATAATTTGAGTGCTTTCGGTTTATTTGTCGTTCGATTGCTTAGTAGAGTTTTCATAAGTATAAATAAAAGCAGTCCCTACATGATATATGAATCACAAATTAGCGCTTTAAATGTATATTGATCTGAGATGAGGGTGAGGCAATATGCGCCGTTTGGATTAGTAACTCTTATACGCAAAACAAAGTTCTCTTCCATCAAATGTAAGGTTGGATTTATTACATCATCTGCATAATGTTTCGTATAACATACAGTGTAAAACAAAATTGATCGTACACCCTAGAGAGTATAGATATATTTTTTTTAAGTCGTGGCTAGTGGTTGAACAGATGTGTATTGATTTATTGCTATAGTTTTGGTCTTAATAGGAAGAGTCTGAATGAAGTTAAATTTATTCTATTAAAACGTTCGATTTCAACTTTTTACCTAGTGGACGAGATTTAGTAAAATTAGTGGCATATGAATGATCCTTACCACGACTAAAAATAAGCAAAATTTGAAGAAGTTTTATCATTTTATTTCAAGAAAATAAGGTTTTTCAATACAAAGGCGTTCTCATTAAATTGCTCTAACTTTTTGTAAAATCAACCAAATATGCCCAATACTGATACAATAATTGATAGATATATGCTGAGTCAGCTACCAAAAACTCAGAGACGTATCTTTTTAGCTGGTGCTTTTAGAGCCGGTTTTTCGAAAATTTAGATACAGCAGTACGATCCATTTTGAGATACACTGTATGTAATGGCAGCTCTTGCAATGGACTATATGGACTGTATGTAATGGACTATAGTACAGGCAAGTTTTCCAAAAAGCTAATTTTTGTATAAAGCCTTCATGAATTTCTAGACACAACGCATTTGGGAAACATACCTTGTTCAAAAAATAAGCTAACATATAAAATTGCATTATTTTTAAAACGTTCCGGCTACCACATTACAGAATATGTTCATGTTGTGAAACATTGCAAATTCTGCATACTTCTCATGCAAATCTCCAATAGAATCTTGCATTGCCCGGTTGGGTGTGAACAATCGTTGAAGTTTAAATTGATCAATTTAGATGGTCAAGTTTTGAACCCGCCACAACATGCTTTTGGCGCTACTTCATATGGACGATCAAATGTAAAATACTGTGGTAGCCACAGCATAGTTCTATCAAAACCTCAGCATTTTCACTGATCCATTGCTCATATGAGTTACGCGAAACCCCTGCAATAAAACGCACGGATTGAACCCAGGCCCATTGGGGTGAGAAAGCAGTCACGCTTCCCGAGCAAAATCCAGCATCAAAATGAAAGCAAATTGAAATCCAGTTTTGATATCAACATCAAACTGAAATCATAATTTGATTTCAGTTTACGCAATTGACAAATTTGATGTCTAATTTTGTTTTCATTTTGCTGTACATTTGCTCTTCTAAAATATGTTGTTGCTGGTTTGTTTTCATTGCCTTAGCATAACATCAAATCGAATACTTGTTTTGTTATCAACATGAAAAATGGATATCAAATTCGGTTTTCAGTTTGCTCTCACTGATAGTAGAAATAGTTTTTAATGTGATGTCACAGGAAGATTTGTTTGCTCTCAATTTTGATTTTTAACCGTTAAAACGACCAAAACGTCAGCAACCTGAGTAATCATTACTTTTAAAAAAATCTGCCCCTTGAGGGCAAGTGTTGCATGCTTGAGATGCTCAACCAACTCTGGGTCTCTGATACCTACCCGACGCTGTGGAAGGAGAGTCTCGTCGTGCCCATCCCGAAGGCAAACGAAAAAGACAGGGGCACATCTAGGTTCCGACCGATCGCTCTCACATCCTGCATGGCCAAGGTATTCGAACGGATGGTGAACCGTAGACTCAAGATGTTCCTTGAAACCAACAGCTTGCTCGACCACCGACAACATGCCTTTCGACAAGGTTTCGGTACGTCCACGTACTTTGCCACTCTGGGGGACGTCCTCAAGGAAGCTTACGACCAGGAACACCACGTTGAAATCATCTCTTTGGACATCTCCAAGGCTTTCAACCGGACGTGGATGCCAGCCGTCCTGAAAAAACTAACAAACTGGGGCTTGAAGGGGCATATGATGTATTTCATACGAAACTTCTTGACCGACCGGTCATTTCGTGTATTGGTGGGGAACACGCGGTCAAAAAGTTTCAGCGAGGAGACTGGAGTCCCTCAAGGCTCCGTTATCGCAGTCACGTTGTTCCTGGGGGCAATGAACGGGGTATTTGACCGGCTACCTGGGCGCATTTATATATTTGTTTACGCTGATGATGTGCTGATTGTGGCCACCGGTCCTACACAGATCCGAACCCTACGGCAAGCGCAAGCGGCAGTCTCTGCCGTCGTCAAATGGACCGACTCGATGGGTTTCCAGCTATCCGCCAGGAAGAGCATCCGATGCCACGTATGTCCGTCTCAGCACCGAGTCAATAGCACCCCAATTACGATCCACGAGCAAGCCATTCCAAACAGGAAAACAGTCCGCGTCCTCGGCGTACTGATCGACCGAACGCTCTCCTTCGACCAGCATTTCCAATAGGTCAAAAAGGACTGTCGCAGTAGACTCAACCTCGTTAAAACGATCTCTCGGCCTCACCGATCCAACAACCGCGATGTTCGGTTCCGGGTGGCGTGAGCCATCATCGACAGTAGGTTGCTTTACGGGACGGAAATTACTTGCATCGCTTCCGAGAAGCTGATTAGAACCCTAGCACCAGTCTACAACAGCTACATCCGCATCATATCTGGTCTCCTGCCATCCACTCCAGCAGACGCCGCATGCATCGAAGCGGGTCTTCTTCCTTTCCGGTTCTGCTTAAACGCAAATATTGCCACAAAAGCCGCCGCCTTTTCCGCCAAGACCTCCGGAAACAATAGGATCTTTCTCCTCGACGAGGGGAACAGAGTCCTCCGCACGGCCGCCAACATCGACCTCCCCCCAGTGGCCAAAGTCCATTGGCATGGAGAGAAAAGTTGGCACTCTTCACGAATCCAATTGGACAATCGGATCAAGAACCGCTTCAAAGCAGGGGATGCATCCATCATTTTGCACAGATCGGTCGCCGAGTTACTTGGGTCCAACTATGCCGACCACGTACATCGGTACACCGACGGCTCCCGATCGATAAACGGAGTAGGTATCGGGATTTTTGGAGACGGTATTGCTGAAAGCAGCAGTCTTCCTCCACAATGCTCGGTTTTCTCGGCCGAGGCTGCAGCGATTTTCCGTGCCGCTACGACGCCAGCCAACAAACCGATACTTATATTAACTGACTCACACAGCGTCGTTCAAGCGATCACCTCGGAAGCACCAAAATCAAGTACGCCCCACCGAACACCGTGTACACATGGATTCCCGGACACTGCGGAGTGCCAGGTAACGAGTCTACTGATCACCTTGCCGGAGTCGGGACATCGGGTCCCAGACTCACCAACAAGGTACCCCTACAGGACGTCAGACGGTGGATCATGCGGACCATTCGAGCGGCATGGGAAGCTGAGTGGTTTCGCAACAGAACTGCCTTCATCCGCAAAGTAAAAGGGTCAACTGAACCATGGAGAGAACTGGACAACCTGAGGGATCAACGCGTGATTTCGCGGTTACGAACCGGGCACACTAAACTCTACTATAATTATGGTGGCCTGCCGTTCCGCAGAAGCTGCATCATCTGTGGGGTACCCTACACCGTCGAACACATCCTGTGCAACTGCCCGGAATTCCAAAATCTTCGGGAGTCACTCTGCCTAACTTCCAGCATCAGCGATCTGCTCGGGAATGATACTTCGGCCTCGGCAGCACTAGTAACCTTCTTAAAAGAAGCCAAAATCTACCACTCGGTATTGCAGGAATTTCTTTCGGCCGTCGGGACATCTCAGCTGGATGGATTTCCCCTATTGGACCCATGCCAGCTGAGCTCTGTTTTGTTTGGATTAATCGTTTGTAGCTTGTCTTAAATCATTTTGTTTTCT